CATGTTTTTTTTAAGAAAATAAATTGAGGATAAGGTCTCTATTTAAAAAAAAACATAAAGAGTATTATTAATAAAATAGAAAAATATATTTAATATCATCAAAAATTAATTGATAAATTAATTAATATTTGAATAGTAGATATTCATAAAAAACTATAATTACATTTAATTTATATATTATAATCTTAATTATTTTGGCCCTGGCATATATGATCTTGAAGTAAGGCATTTGCTTTTTTTTTTTTAATATGAGAAGATAATTTCTTTTAGAAAATTAGCCTTATTGTACTGTAAATATTTTCGATTGGGAAAATATTTTTTATAAAAATACCTATAATCTTAGAGAGAGAGAAAAGTCATTATTTTTTATTGTATTAATTAATATGAGAAGTATTACCGATACATCCTTCTTAACACACTCTTTATTATTTGTTAAAAATTATTAAAGTTTATAAAATTATAAAAGATATATTAAAGAACATCTAGAATCACAATTTTTTATGATTTCATTTTAACTAATAAAAGAAAGTAGGTTAAGAAAATGAGTTAGAGAATTTATTACTGATATTTTTGGTATTATCATAAATGAAAAATCTTATAATTTCAATTTTTTTGTGCAAGATATTGGTATAGTATAAGAGTTAATTACCTATATACTATTAGTGTAAAGTTTTTTTACATTGGCAACTAATTATATCTTTTAATTGTGTCATATCACTACTAAAAGTAAATGTGTTTATAGTGACATGACATAATTAAAAGATATAATTGGTTGTCAGTGTAAAAAAATTTACACTGACAGTGTATAGGTGATTAACTCATAGTATAAACCAAGAAGTTAGGTACAAATTGTTAATGTATTAAATTCAAGGTCAAATCATTCAAGTTGTGTTTTGAGTTCAATCTTTAACAAAAATAATTCAATTAAAGCATATTAATCTAAGATAAAGCTTTGAGATATCAGATATATATATATATATATATGAGGGATTCTTTTACGTTAAGAGTAAGTCTACCTAGACTTACTCCATTCAAATTGATAAATAATCATAAAATCATTTTATATATTGTTTTGAATTAATAAAATAAAGTATCAAATAATTTTTAAATTTTTAAAAAATTTATAAATTTAATTTATGCATTAAAAACTTTAAATTGAACAGATAAATTGTTAAAATTTGATATAGAATATGAGTAAAAAATCCATCCTCATATATATAATGATTAATCTAATTTAATATAAGCAATGATGAGTGGATTCTTCTTACCCAATTTCAACACACATCTACATTCCCAACAATAGGAAGAAACCATTATTTTTTTTTTAAACAACCATTAATAGTGTGTTTGGAAATATGTTTCTACACATTTAATCACGTCCGTCCGAAATCAAAAACGTGAAAATAAGAAGCAAAATTTTTTTACTTCTCCGTTAACGTAGTTTTCAAACGTGTATCCTGAAATTGTTTAGAAAACGCGTTTAGTTTAGTGGAGTGTAGAATTATCCATCCACCATAAATCATGGTCATTGCAACAACCACATGAAAAGTTGTGTACAAGTTTGCAAATTGCATGACTGAGGTATGAGTTATGACCTATACCTTCTCTGACGACTTGCAACAAACTTTCTTGGATTCAGCACCGACGAATAAAGCCCACTTGAGCCTTTATTAATTCACCCTCGGGCCCATGCGACCCAAAGTGGTAAACAACACCGCCAATTGTCACTCTTGGTCATGGTGATGGTTGGATGACTCATATCAAATGTACACAACTGCTATATTTAAATTGATAGATACCCTGCACCCGTCTCCAAGCTTAATCATTTCATATTAGTAGAAATATTTAAACCTTCATTTGCCAATGTTTCTACTTGTAATTTGTTGGTTAACTTTTTTATTTTCATATTCTTCTAAGAAATTGACACTGGGCCAGTGTGGTCACGACTCATTAACTCTGCTTCCTACCAAAACAACGTACCCTCAACTTCAAGCTCAACCGTCATATATACATATATAATATAATTTTAGGTAATTGGTTTGATCCCCGAATTAAGAAGGTTGCATTTATGGGTGATACTAATGAAGCAAGTCAAAAATGGGTGTGGGTGCTCCCTGGTTTCAACGGCAAGGTACGAAAGGACATCAAAAGTTGGCATTAATGGGTCTAACTGATTGTATTGGGGGTCAATTACTGGGAATAGTACACGTGAAATTCAAACTAACAGTTTCTCATAACATCATGGTAATGGGCCACACCCAGTGTTTTATTGGATGTCATTTTGTGGTTTGCTTTCATGAATGAATTCAATAGCAAAGTCATTAATTGCTAATTTTGGACTTGTCTCTTGATGCTACAACAAAACGTTCTTGCCAAAGGTTTACTTCAAAAAGGGGCTCCATGATTTTCTAATTTCTATCTCTTTGGCTATGAAATAAAAACATTGTTAGGAAAATGATTCTAGGATTAGTGGTAAGATGAAAGTGTTTGGCTTTTGTGGTAGCTTGTGCTAGCTGTATATCATTTGGGAAGTGGTAAAGATGTGGATATTTTGTTGCAATGCAACATAACCCACTACAGAAAAGGAAAGCTCCAACACAGGCATCCTATTTCGATTAAGATAACACACGCTCCTTGCTCCTAATTCTTTGACATTTTTCAGATCCTATTTATTATTAATCTTCTCATCTTTCCATTCTATAATACGATACTATAGTATAAAATTAATATGCATTCTTCTATAAGTATAAATGTTTATATATATATATTTGGAAGAATCCGTTCATTCTAGAAATAAATTTATATAAATTTACTATGTTCAATAACTCATGTTCTACATCAAATTTTAATGATCCAACTGTTAAATTTAAAATTTTTAATATATAGATCAGATCTATAAAAAATTTTAAAAATTAAAAATTATTTAATATTTCGTTTCATTAATTCAAATCAATGTATAAAAATAATTTTATAATTATCCATCAATTTGAATTAATGAAATGAAGATTTTTAAATTTTTTAATTATCATATAAAAAATTTAATCTTTTTCCTCATCAATTAATCATTCAATTGAAAGAAATTTTTACTTTCTATAACATTTATTCAATACTCGAACATTTAAATTAGCGCTAACATTTGTAAATCTTTATTAAGATAATCTTTTAAATATGAGGCTAATTTTTAAGGATTTTAATATTAAAATTTTAAAATACGTATATTTCTACATGTAACTCTAATTTATTATGTTATATATACGTGTGGATCAATATATTGAGCGGCAGCGGCATCTTCCAGTTTTAAATATATTTTTTTTATTATTCATCAATAATCCATTTGCTCTTGCTCTTTCTCTATTTGGGCTAGATCCAGTAGATTATATCTAAAACGCGATTCTATTTGTAGATTATTTTCAGTCAAAAGAAATGCGTGGAGGCTGATGATATATACACCTCCTATCATTTATAAATACACCTCCAATCTCTTTTTTTTTTTAATTTCTAAAATATCCTTCTAACTAAATTTTTGTTTTTAAAATTGTTTTATTCACCCCCTTCTTTTATCATTCTTCTTCTTCTTCTTTCTTCTTTTTTTTTATTCTCCTTTTTTATCACTCTAGTCATTTTTTGATGATTTTATTCTTTTTTGTTTCTCATTCTTGATTTTTCTTCTTTTACAATCAACATAATCATATTTTATCTTTCTATCTTTTAAATTCTATTTTTCACTTTCTACTCTATTCTTTCTTAAACCCTAATTTTTCATTCAATCATCATTATCTTCTACATTCAACACAAGGTACAAAATTAATATATTAAATTACATTTCATATTTACAATTTTTTTAAACTTATTTAACATTACTTATGCACAACAGGTTCGATCGCAGACGCTGGTGGTGGATGAAGAGATAAAGAAACTGGTAAGTTAAATGTGCCATGCGCTTGTAAAATAAGTTTTTTAGCATTCCGGAAAGTACTTTCCGGAATAGTAAAATTATTGTTCATATAATTCCGGAAAGAGCTTTCCGTAACAGTAACTTTAATATTATGGAAAGTACTTTCTGGAATGTAAAATAAGTTTTTTAGCATTCTGGAAAGTACTTTCCGGAATAGTAAAATTATTGTTCATATAATTTCGGAAAGATCTTTTCGTAACAGTAACTTTAATATTATAAAAAGTATTTTCCAGAATGTAAAATAAGTTTTTTAGCATTCTGGAAAGTACTTTACAGAATAGTAAAATTATTGTTCATATAATTCCGAAAAGAACTTTCCGTAATAGTAACTTTAATATTATGAAAAGTACTTTCCGGAATGTAAAATAAGTTTTTTAGCATTCCGGAAAGTATTTTCCGGAATAGTAAAATTATTGTTCATATAATTCCGGAAAGAACTTTCCGTAATAGTAACTGTAATATTATGGAAAGTACTTTCTGGAATTATGTAACAAAATATTTCCGGAAAATACTTTCCAGAATAAGAATTTAATATTATGGAAAGTTCTTTCCGGAACTATAGTATTTTCTAGAACTTTTATATAATTCCGGAAAGAACTTTCCGTAACAGTAACTTTAGTATTATGGAAAGTACTTTCCGTAATTATGTAACAAAACATTTTCGGAGGCTACAGAATTAAATATTATGGAAAGTATTTTCTGGAATAAAAATTTTATTATTCCTAAAATATTATATTTTTGTTTTTAGTACAATTCTTATATTTTTTTTATCTCTCGTTATAGTTTTATTTATTTAATATTTTATTTTTATTTATATGTGCACATGAAATACATGTTAGGAAAATGTCTGAGGTGAGGAATATATCAACCAATGGAACAACAAATAAGACTATTGACTGTAGTGGTGTATTTAACACTAAAGAGGTAATTGAACAATCAATTATTTTTGTTAAGTTATCAATATATAATAATAATAATAATAATAATAATTGTTTTTCTATTTATATGTTTAGGTTTTTCCATGTCGAGATGCTATGTTGGATTGGGCACGACATGTTGCAAAAGAAAGTGGATTTGTCCTTATTATTTTTAGGTCAGATACAAATACAGGACGTGATAAAAGGAAGACATTTGTAATTTTGAGTTGTGAAAGAAGTGGAAAATTTAGAAGATCAAACAAAAATGCATTATCTAATAGGGTGACTAGGTCCAAGAATGCTACATCCACATATGCTGCGCTCTTGTTAGCAAAAATCGTGCAACCAACCAAGAATAGAAGAAATGTCCTTGTAGCAAATTCCCAACGCTTCTCTTGGCACCTTGCATCATAAGCATCTCTCAACCAACTCATGCGAACATGAGCACCTCTTGTAGCCCTTATCTCAAGGATTTCATCCTCGTGTGAGACTCCTAACAAATCCTCTAGTATACACATGCAATGTCATGGTCCATGACCGGCTGACTAAAAAGTGCACCTCTAATTGGTAGGTGCAATAAGCATGACACATCATCAAGAGTGATTGTCATCTCTCCTATTTGCAAGTGGAATGAGCTTGTCTCAGGATGCCATCGCTCAACAAATGCAGACACAAGACCTTTATCCACCATCTGATAGTTGCAAACTATAAGTGATGCTAAGCCAGACTTATCTACCAATTTTTGTTTTTGGTGGTGCTTGATGACAAATTTTTTTACTTTTCTTCCATGATTGACAATCTTAAGCTCACCACGATCCTAATGTTTTATGATCTTGTCATTATAAAGGTTTATTAAACATCAAATTTAAAAAATCCACCAACATTAATTACCTCGCCACTCCATAAGCGGGTTGCAACATGGTCTGAAAAATTCCTAAGGACCGACAAATCCTCAGGGCCTCCTAGAAACGACCTCGGTGCTTGAGGGTTTACAACACCATCTAACATGACCTCTTGAGGCTCCTCGTGATCATCGACTATAGGTACTTGAGCATTCACATGTTGCTTATCTTTTGTTAGTCGTTGACGCTTTCGTGCAACGCTACCACCTCTTGTCCGTGCCATAACTTCACATAACGATAGATGATCGGTCAATTTCAAAATACAAAGACAATTGATCAATCAATTTCAAACACACAAACCCTATAAAGAATCCTAAAAATAAATGTAAAGATGAGATACAATGTTAACAAAATAGAGAAACAATGAGCAATAATAAATTACAAACAATAAGAACAAAAGAATATAGAAGAAGGTGGAGATAGTGAGGAGAATTACTTGGAGGAAAAATGCATATGACCTTACACCTTTTTCTTTGACACTAAACCGTGAGCTCACAGTTTATAACAAAATAAAAAAGGAAGAAGATATTACAAAAACTAAAAAGGCTAGAAGAGGAGGTAGAGAGGTCGAATAAGAAAGTGATGAAGAAGAAAAGAAGAAACGGGTAGAAAAGAAAGAAGATGGGGGGTGCAGGAAAAAGAAAGAAGAAGAGGGGTGTGGGGAAGAGAAAGAAGAAGAAGGGTGTGGGGAAGAGAAAGAACAGGGGGTGCGAGGTGCGGGAAAAAAAAAAAGAACAAGAGGAGTGTCAGAAAGAGAAAGAAGAGGGGTGCGTAATGTCAGCAGGTGGTCTTGTAAGAGAAAGACTCTTACTTGTTCTATGGAAAGAAACACTAGTACAAAAATGACTTTTAAAATTGGGGTTTTAAAATCAGTCATAAGGTAGCCATTTTAAAAGTGACGCGGTGGCTTGTACTGCAACAGAACGGCCCCCAGAACGGCCCGTTCTGCAAGCAGAACGGCCTGTACTGCTTTCAGTACGGCCCGTACTTCAAGCAGAACGGCCCGTACTGCTTGTAGAACGAGTCGTTCTTCTTGCAGAACGGGTCGTTCTGGTGTCGTTCCAGACTAAAGTTTTGAGAAAGAAATCGGCCAGGATCGTATACTTCAAATTCTGAGTCAACAACCCTAACTCGAGCACTTATATAAAAGAAAATCATTGTAAAGAAGTTTTAGTATAAAGGATACTTACCAGAGTCAAATCCTTCACCGGCAAAGAGTCTTTCTTATGCTAGTTATGGTGGGGCTAGTCCCTTTTTTCTATTCAAAATGACTGTAAAAGTATATTCATATTACTCTTGGTGACATTGAGCGGAAAGAGACTTTGGGAAGAAGAGGGGTGTGGGGTGTGGGGGTGCAGGGAAGGGGGGTGCGGAGAAGAGAGGTGTAAATTTAGGAATTTAAATTTTTTTAAAAGGGTAATTTAGACATTTTATATATTTTTTTTAAAAAAGGAGGTGTGTTTATACGAGAGTGGAGGTGTGTTTAACATCTCCCATGCGTGGATTGCCCATTAATTACAATCTTTTGACCAATGATGTCAGATGTGATCGGATTAGATTTTTACATAGCCCAATAAAATTAGACTGGACTTCTTTGCCAAAAAAAAGTTGAAAGGTAATGATATATATACTTTTTTTTAATAAGCACACCTCTTTTAAAAAAAATAATTAAAATTTTAAAATACTTTTTATTTTTATAATTTTTAATTCTTAATTTTACATCTCTAATATTTAATTTAATTTTTTTTCTTCTTTTTCACATATCTCATTTTGTCTTTTTTTTTTTTTTTTTTTTTTTTTTTTTTTTCAGTTTTCACATATATTCTTTTATCTTTTCTCCACTCTCATTTATTTCAGTAAATAGTTTTAATTCTTTCAGTTTTGCATTACTTTCTTTTCCCTCCTCTTTTAGTTTTATAACTATTATCTCCTCCCTTCACTCTTTTAGTTTTCATACACACATGAAACATAGAACTAGTTTTTACACTTTCCTCATTTATATGTCTAGAAAACACATCAAATAATTTTATTGTTTAAGAAAATAATTTTTTTTTAACATACTTCCACAAAGTACTTTTTGGAATAGTAATTTTACTATTCCAAAAAGTATGTTTTAGAACATTAATTTCACATAATTCTGGAAAATTCTTTCTGAAACAGTAAATTTAATGTTTTGAAAAGTGTTTTTTTATAAAGTCTTTTTTTTTCGAAATACTAATTTCATTACCGCGAAGAGTATTATGAAATAATAAAATTAGTGTTCTAAAATATCGTTTTGATAATACTAAATTTAATGTTAAGGTTTTTCGAGGTATGAAAGAAGAGGAAGGGTTAAAAGAAAAAAAATGTGCTTCTAGTTCAACAAAAATTGTCAAGGAAGTCTCACATACTTATAATGTTGTTGCGTATTAGTTCTACGAACTCGGTGCATGTGAAAAAGTGAAAGAGATGAGAGAAGAAGAGAATAAAGTAAAAATCAAGAAAATTAAATTACTTATTAAAACAAATAAAGAATTGAAGACAAAAGGATACATGTGAAAATTAAAAGAGAGAAAAAAAGTATGTAGAAAAGAAGAAGAAAGTAATACATTGAAAGATGAATGTGTAAAATTAAAAAATAAAAAAATAAAAAGAATTATGAATATTTTAGAATTTTTCTTTAAAAATATAAAGGAGGTGTACTTGTAATAATAAGGAGGTGTATATATCATTACCCAAAGTTGAACTGGTCAGAAACAAATACTGCAAGCCCATTTTCCTTTACGAATCAACTACAACTTGTGGGCTTTAGCCCAATAATCGCCCCTCCTTTTTTTTCCCCACCAAATATGACAAAAATAGAGAGAAACTAGTGGTACTCTTGTAATCCTCACATTTGTTATTCCCACACCACAATTATTTTTATTTTATTTTTTTGAGAAAAGTACCCTCGACAAGAAACACATTTCTGTTGTATACAATGCATAATAAAAACTTATTTTCATTGCATAATAATTAGTGGTAAGGGTGTGGCAAATAAATTTAAAACGTATAAACTAAAATTAAGATATATTTTATAGAATATATATATATATAT